GATAAAGTTTTAGATAAAATTTTCAATGAAGTTTTACATAAAGCTTTGATATAAAGTTCGTTCAAGTTATTGCTGCCCTTCAGGTCCTCTTTGACAAGTGCAGAAATCTGTTTTTGTTTTTTTGTTTTTTTGTTCTTTTGCCTAAGATGGTGAGGCGCCTGCCCTTCAGATCAGCAGTCTGACATCTACCCTACCCAGACAAAAGAATTTCAAGAAACCATTCCAGTTACATCCTAGGCCGTTTTCCCGGGCGCCCGGGCACCCAAGTTGTGCCCGGAAACACGCCCGGTTGACCAGCCGGGCAGGGTCCCAGGCTGCCCTAGCGCCAAAAAAAAAACAAAAAACAAAACAAAAAAAATCTGGAAAAAAAATATGTCGCGTAGAATTGCAATACAAATAAGTTTTGGTTGAGGGTCACATCAGAATTCTTTACGGAACTGAAGATAAAAAATAAAATAAGTTTAAATAACCGAATCACACCAAGGCACCCCCCTTTAAACCCCTTTAGCCCCTTTAAAAATAATTTATACCCCCCTTGCCCCCCCTTTAAAGCTAACACTTTCAAAAAGAAAAGAGCCCGTATTTGGGCTCCTCTCCGGAGTGCGGAAAGCCCCCACCGCCAATTTTTTTTTTTTTTCGCTCTTTTTTACCCATGCCCGGGTATCCCTGGCATCAGACCCCCCCGGGCATCATGCCCAGGTGACCGGCCGGTCATGAAAATCTTCCTAGGTTACATCTCTTTTGTCAAAAAAAAAAGGAAAAAAAAAAAAAGCTTACAATGTTACAATGAACATACATCCATTACATGCGGGCATGAAAGAGAAGTGGAATACATCCATCACATGGGGGCATGAAAGAGAAGTGGAATACATCCAATACAATGGCCGTATGCAGTGGTGAGTGTGGATTGAAGTTCGTTGAAGTTTGAACACATGACCTTCAGTTCCTGGTTGGGACAGTTTTCCTCCCCACCTGCTACATTGGGTGGCTCTGTCAAGCCTCTCATTATCGAGGGTGATCAACCCCATGATTGCATATATTGTTACCCTCCTTAAGCCCTGCAAGGGCCTAAAACCCTAAATCCTAAACCCTAATGGGCCTATAAAACCCTGAAAGGCCTAAAACCACAAAGGGTATAAAATCCTAAAGAGAGGAAAGCCCCTCAACTCATGGCTTTATTGGCAATCTCTCCTGGAAGAACCTCTTACTTCCGTCCTTCGGGACATCCGTTAAAATTGGAACGATACAGAGAAGATAAGCATCGCCCCTGCGCAAGGATGACACGCAAAAATCGAGAAATGGTCTAATTAAAAAAAAAAAAAAAAAAAAAAAAAAAAAAAAAAAACCCCCCCGCCCAAAAAAAAAAAAAAAAAAAAAAAAAAAGGGTTAAAAAAAAAAAAAAAAAAAAAAAAAAAAAAAAAAAAAGAACCTCTTATTTCCGTCTTCCAGGCTGTAAGGGCCAAGGCCCACTGGCACGATGTTATTGCTAGGACAGCATGAAGCTAGCCATTGTTCCAGCCACGTTCAGGCTATTCAAGCACGAACATAGCATCAATTGGGGGTGGTCCTACATGTCAAATGAACTCCCTTCGTTGTTACCCTCTATCTACATGCTTACAAACACATGAACCGGGTCCGTTTTTAAGCCAGGTTCAGGCAATACCTCCCGTGTCTCCCCCATTGTTGGTTGGGACAGGAATGCCCACTCCGCTTTCTGCCATTTATGAGGCTTTTCAGCCACTTTTGTCATGTGATTTTTTTTATTTTTTTTTACACGTTTAATCCTTAACATCCTTTAAGTGAATAGCGGTCCTCGCGTAACGCTCCCGCGACAGACCGCTATCCACTGTTGGGAAAGTGAATGGGACAGGTAGGCGGGCCCGACAGACACCGCGTATGTCTTTCAGGCCGGGCCGAACCGGTGAGCGTCAGCGATATCGCGGATCGGGCCTGCGCTGGACGGCCCGATAGATTTTTCGGGATCGGCGCCAGCGATTCTCGAAACTTCTATCGGGCCGTCCAGTGCGGGCCCGATCAACGATCTTTGTTAACTTTAATGATGTTTAATCCTCTGAATTGGAATGAATGCTATCCATGAAAGAAGATGGCCAACGTACATCCCAACGAATAGCACCCATTGTTGGTTGCTTGGGATTTGCTTGCATGCTCACACTACTACACCTTTTTCAGCAAATTCTCACTGGCAGGTTCCTTGCACTTGGCTTGGCTTAAGGGCATACTCACACTGGATCTTTTTCACCTGACTTCTTGACACAATTGCGACCAGGTTCCTTGCACAGAAGACACCTGGGTAACGCAATTGCGACCAGGTTCCTTGCACAGAAGATACCTGGGTAACGCAATTGCTACCAGGTTCCTTGCACAGAAGATACCTGGGTAACGCAATTGTGACCAAGAGACCTGGGTTGCCTCGAAAGTGGGTTGCCTGCCGTCTTCCGCCAAATACAACACACCGTCATAATGACTGTATCTGACCAGAAAGATACCTGGGTTGCCTCGAAAGTGGGTTGCCTGCCGTCTTCCGCCAAATACAACACACCGTCATAATGACCAGAAAGATACCTGGGTTGCCTCGAAAGTGGGTTGCCTGCCGTCCTCCGCCAAATACAACACACCGTCATAATGACTGTATCTGACCAGAAAAGATAGTCTGCATGCATTCAAATTGATGACAGAGGTGTGCTGTATTCAGGGGAAGAAAACGATAGCCGCTTTGCATATGGAGAATAAATATCTGCGAAAGAACAGGAATTGAATTCCCGGAGCAAGGTCCCACAAGCAAAGACGATTGGACTGAACGCCTGAATCTGGACGGGTTTCGCCCAGAGATGCAGAGAAGCTGATCAGTAGCCATTTTATGCACCTGTCCAACAATCACATCCAGATTCCGAGGTAAAATCCAACCCTCCTTGCTGGTGGGACCTTGCCACCGATGCTTCTTGCTATGTGAGTTGTGCTTACTTACTGGATTATTCTTGTCAGGACACTGATCTCCACTTTCATGTGATTTTGTTCGACGTTGTTTTTTTTGTTTTTTTCATCACACTGTTTTTTTCTGCTCTTTTGGAACTACTTTAGTTTCTTTTCCCCCTTTTTTTTTGCATTTTTTATGACCTGCTTGAGGCTTTTTCTAACATCATTTTTTCTTTTTTTCTTTTTTTCTTCTTTTTTTGTTTGGGGGGGGGGGGTTGCGGGGGGAGGGTGATCGTACAGGTTGATACAAACGTCGGGCGGATCTGCACTCGTCTCGGGTGGATACCATTGCTGCCTCTTCCGGAGAACACACAGCTTCATGAACTCTCAATGTAAGTGAAACTATTTAGTAGTTTTTTACTAGGCTACCAGCCGGGCCGCCGGGGTCACCTTGTTTGCCGGGGCGGTCCGGCCGTGCAAGGGCCAAACAAGGTCCCAGCCAAAAAAAAAAAAAAAAAAAAAAAAAAAAAAAAAAAAAAAACTGAAAAAACAAAAACACTATGTTATGCAGAAAAATAAACTGAACAGCTTTTGCCTCAGGGTCAAATCGAAATTCCTTACCAAATTTTAAATAAAATTAAAAAATATATATATTCATATTATATGCGTATTATTCGAATAGAACGCATTTGTGTTATATTCGAAGTGCCCTTGTATTTGAAGAAAAGGGTCTATCTTTCCGAAAACCGTTTTGTTTGGAAACTCGAGTACAACACATATGCGTTATGTTCGGGGGAAGACAGTAGTACCTTTGGCGTCCGGTTTCGACAAGTTCTTGCCAGCTCCCGAACTTTTAGGAGGCCAGGCCTGACAACAGCTGCCGTTGATAAATCTGATCGGCGGCCGTCGTTTTGTTTCAGCCTCCTGAAAGTTCCGAACCGACAGTGGTTTAAGTCAATTTGGATCATATAACTCACCAACACTGAAAACAGGGAAAAACTTGGAAAAAAGAAACTTAGAAAGTTAGAAAAACTTAAAAGGTGACCTAGCAAGGATGCATAGGTATAAACTCAATGGCAGAGCCACATCAGAAATGTGAAGAAAAAAAAAGTCTCGCAAGGGTGTTGATGAAAGCGCGATGAGCGGGCGGAGGGGGATCGCACGGGGGCAGCTGCGGATAAGCTGCGCTTAGCCAGAACATGCTGTTGGGTATGGCAGAGGCGGAGAGGTGATAGAGCATTGCTTTGAAAATTTTAAATTATCTCGGTATTGCTGCGGATGCCTCTACCTCCACCTGTGTTTGGAATTCTTTTTTTCCTTTTTTCTTTTTTAATTCTCAGATGTTGTATTGAATTTCTTGTGTCCTTCGGGACATCCGTTAAAATTGGAACGATACAGAGAAGATTAGCATGGCCCCTGCGCAATCGAGGATGACACGCATAAATCGAGAAATGGTCTAATTTCTTGTGCAATTTTCTGTTGCTTCTCTGCTCCATGTTGTTGTTTGTTTGTTTGTTTGTTTGTTTGTTTGTTTGTTTGCTCTTTTTTTTTTTTCTTTTTTTGCTTTTTTTGCTTTTTTCAGTTACCCTGCAGAGACAGTTGTTCATAAATATCTCAAGAATTTCCTTGGCACCCTCGATCACAAAACCCGGTAAGGATTCCTCTGTACTCTCTTTCATTATTACACTGAAAAAGAAAAAAGAAAAAAGAAAAAAGAAAAAAGAAAAAAGAAAAAAGAAAAAAGAAAAAAAGAAAGAAACATTTGTGGCTCAGTCCGTTGGTGGGGAGCTGCAGCTGCTGGAAACAAATCGGTTCCACACATCCCAAAACACCACAAGTACAACAATTGGTGCCACGGTGGGACTCTCAGAAACCGGGTCCAGCATGGGACTCTGGGAATCGGGTCCAACACGGGGCTCTGGGACCATCGTGGGATATGGGATCAGCATGGGACTCTGGGAATAGGGTCCAGCAGGGGACTTTCAGAATCAAGTCCGTGATGGGACTTCGGAAGTCGGGTCCATCATGGAACTCTTTGGCTCCATGGAAACAGCATGGGACTCCAGGAATCGGGTCCTGCATGGGACATGAGACCAGGATTGGACGTGGGATCAGCATGGGACTCTGGGAATCGGGTGCAGCATGAGACTTTGGGACCAGCATGGGACTCTGGGAATCCGGTCCAGCATGGGACATGGAACCGGGATTGGACGTGGGACCAGAATGAGACGTGGGACCATCATGGAACTCTGAGAATATGCGGATCCAGCATGGGACTCTGGGAATCGGGTCCAGCATGGGACTCTGGGAGTCAGATCGAGCGTGGGACTCTGGGAATCGGATCCAGCATGGGGCCATAATAAATTATCGTCTTCTAAGCCACAATCTCCGCCACACGGCGCC